TATATATATATATATATATATATATATATATATATAGGTATATGTATGTATATATATAAAGAGAGAAACGTACGTAGTTACGGATATTTATTCCAAATTTACTCATTTGTACTTGTTTACGGACAGGGATGATTTCTGAAATAAAAGTATAATTATGTGGTAGCTGTTGGAAATTTGTAATTATATCATTTTACAAATTATATGAAACTTTTTTTAAATGTGGATCACAAACTCTCAAGAAATACAGAACGGGAAACAAAGTCAAAGAAAGAATTTACCCTGTGATTATGTGATATCACTCCCTGCAATGACTACTGTACACACAGAGACTGAGCCACCCTTGGCCTCTAGTACAGTGAAAGTACAGTGAAAAGTACAGTGAAAGTACTGAGTATGGACATATAGGCGGCAACGCTGACGATGAAAATATTCGTAGCTATGGTCGCACAGCTAACTAATACTGTGGGAACTGGGCATGCATACAAAATGATACAATACTACTAACAATGTACCTCGTAGTTCCTGTGGTATATCCTCATCAAAGACAGCTTCTCCCGTTGGTAACAACGGGTTAAAAATGCTATTTAAAATAGCGCGATCACAATCGCCCAGCTTCCTGCAAGACGCCATTTCGAAAGGTCACCGTACGATGTCGCCACTTATGTATGATGGCTTCCCAGGAAGATGATGTTGATGATCTTGAAAGTTGGGAAGATTTAACTGACAATGGGGTAGGTAAACTCTCTTAATGGTGGTAGTTGTATAATTTATACGCGTTAAATAGCGTGCATTTCATAAAGTAATGCGATCGTAAACTAAGGTAAAAGTAAGTAAAGTGGCTGTGTTAGTGTCACTGTCACTGTCAGTGTCAGCGATTGTAATTTGTGGTAGGCCCTACTAAACGCCAGTGCAGTAGTTTCCCAGAAATTGGCAGAATATCCTCGCACCTTCACCAGAAGTGATGCCTTGTGAAATACAAAAGTGGGACAATATACGATACGATACGATACGATAGAGCAGGTGACTAACGTGGTCCCACTACCTAGTGCACTGTCGCTGTGCATTACTAGTAGTAGTACTACTTACTAATAAATAAATAATAATAATATCATACATACAGTGGTCCCCGTTCGATCGCGGCCTCGGATAAACAGACACATCGCTTAAAAGATGCGTGTATTTGAAAAATAAACCTTATGCACGTCGTAACGTGGTCGGGATCATGTCTTAATGTAACCCGACCAGGCTGTGTGACTAACGTCAATATACATAGGTATTCTAACCCTAGCAATACCGTTTCTTGGAGCTAGTCTTAATGTAGCTCCAATAACGGTCTTGCTAATCACTTTGTATTACAAGACCTTATATGGACGATCAGTCGCACAGCCTCGTCGGGCTAATCCTAATGAGGAGATTTTCGTGGTGCCTTACCTGTGGGACTAACACAACTGTGTTATAAATATAACTCTGACATCACTATCAGTATAAAACATTTTAGAACATTAACTTGAATGGGTGCTATTTTAACATCTAGTATAGCATTAAACAATATTATTACTAACTACTGTGCTACATTAGGCTGGCTGCCTTGAGCCTGTAGGCTGTCGTAGGTGAACCATAGTATTACAAAATATTGCTTTGTCCAAAACACGATATAGTTTCTTCTTCTTCTTCCATGTTCTGACTATCATCAGATTAGAGATTGTATCATTGACACTAGGGGGTGGGCACTGGGAGTATTTTTTACGTCTTCGGTGGTTCTTTTGTGTCCTCACTACTTCAGACTGGCTCGCCATTTTGTGTCATTATTCGAGACACGAGGTTTTCACGATCCTTACTGTGTGGAGCCAGGATTTTACACAGTTAGAAAGTTGAGTGCCATGACCCACACTCTAAAATTGAGAAAGTGGTTTTGGATTTTAGGAGATACACTATGAAATGCCGTGTTCCCTGAGTTAAACTGAAACATTACTTGCAAATTATATTCCGGTATCTTAAGTATTGTGTAAGTTCAAGAATGCTGTATGGATTTTACGTCTGTGCATGTGCACATATGTGATTGTGTGAATGCATATATATACTGTGCCCATGTGTTGTGTGTGAGTATGTGTCTATCTAAAGCAACTTCGTAGGCAGAGTTATGCATAAGTTACAAACGATTAGTTAGTAGTAATAATTTACTGTTATCAACCATTGTCCATATAAGGGATAGATTATTTCATGTTATTGCCATTTTTCTCGACATTACAGGTATTAGAAAAGAAATTACTGAAACTAGAATCTACAACAGAGAAAGAACCAGGAAGTGATACATGGTAGGGATATTAGGATAGGGAAATAAATCCAATTTAAACATTACTCAAGCGAAATGTTGTTTCTGAATGTTAGTAAATATCATGGTGGTCTGTCATCGCAGGCATTATTATATCGACTTGCACGCTAAAATCACATCTTGTACGCCATCCCCCGATTGATGCCACATCGTCAAAATTCACGATTGAGCGAATTAATATCCGACGCGTGTTTTGGGTTATCTAATTTTTCGTCGACTCCAGCGGCGAACGGCCGACCGTGACGGAGGACACACATCGTACGCAGTATCAGCCGCAAGTGAGAATCCTGAAGCGGCCGTCAGGGGGCGCCGCCGCGTGCGAGAACGGCGCGTTGAAGGGGTCGGCACAGCCGGCGAAGACGCTGGAGCAGAGGGAGGCGGAGTATGCAGAGGCGAGGCTCCGCATCATGGGCGCCGCCTCGCGGGACGACGCGCCGCCGCCGCCGCCGCCGCAGAACTCTGTCAGGTATATAGCTAGGTCTCATCGTAGATGTTATTCGCAATGTGAGGTCAGGTATTGTTAGCTAGCTCTCTATCTATCAGGTATTGTTAGCTAGCTCTCTATCTGTCAGGTATTGTTAGCTAGCTCTCTATCTGTCAGGTATTGTTAGCTAGCTCTCTATCTGTCGGGTATTGTTAGCTAGCTCTCTATCTGTCCGGTATTGTTAGCTAGCTCTCTATCTGTCAGGTATTGTTAGCTAGCTCTCTATCTCTCAGGTATTGTTAGCTAGCTCTCTATCTGTCAGGTATTGTTAGATAGCTCTCTATATGTCAGGTATTGTTAGATAGCTCTCTATATGTCAGTTATCGTTAGCTAGCTCTCTATCTGTCAGGTATTGTTAGCTTGCTATCTATCTCTCAGGTATTGTTAGCTAGCTCTCTATCTGTCAGTTATCGTTAGCTAGCTCTCTATATGTCAGTTATTGTTAGCTAGCTCTCTATCTATCAGGTATTGTTAGTTAGCTCTCTATCTGTCGGGTATTGTTAGCTAGCTCTCTATATGTCAGTTATTGTTAGCTAGCTTTCTATCTATCAGTTATTGTTAGCTAGCTCTCTATCTGTCAGTTATTGTTAGCTAGCTCTCTATCTATCAGCAGGTATAGCTGGCTGTTCATCACGCTGCGAGCGTTTAAGTGCACTTGCAATCTCACAAATACGTACTCAGCACCCACACACATATATACATAATAATTAATATATATATATACATATTATGTGTTTATATATACAATATATATTTTACGTTATTCATTATATATCGTATATATGTTGCTTAGACTGTACCTAACGCAAACACCGTCGACACAACTCTGGTTAAACAGTGACAACTAACTGAGACGATAATTCACAGCCTCGCCTAACTCGTCGCCACAAACCTACGTTGGATTCTACTCTCGTGGTGTTTACCGATCGCGTGCGCGCAGCAGCTGGGAAGCCGTGTGTCGGACAGTCTTATCTCTTTACAGGCCGGTCATCATGACAATACAGCCAGATACCACCATCGCAGTCGGCAAGACGAGAGACCCAAAGACACCGGACGGGACAACGGGATTTTCGATAGCAAGATAGCCGGCCGCGCGTTTTTTTCGCGCGATAGGAAATTCAAATCGGCGTCGTTCGTCCGCTGCCCCCGCTGCTGCGTTCTCCCGTGCACCTGGCCAGAGCTACCGCTACTTACACTGCTGCTAGGTCAATGATCGGTATAGGTCATCATCAATAGCTTTGCCGACACTTTTCGTGTGTAAGAGCATTGCGACTGACTCGTTATCGGAACACTGAACAATTGTATAGTCTCGCTCTAACCATGGGTGCAGTGTAAGTTGTAATATTCCACTTAAAAATGAAGATAAATATTAATAAA